TCTTTACTGGAGTTGCCTTTGTAGGAGTTGACTTGCTAATTTTACCTTGTATCGATTCCTGGACAAATGAATACAGTGATCCAAGATTTCGAATCTTGCAAGCACAAGGATTACAAACACAACTTGAATATTTCTCACATTTTAACTTCTCACTTTTTTAACTTAACTTGCAGATTTGTGTTAAAATGTCACCCTTGCAGTCCTTCCTTTTAGACAGATTGAGTAGAAATAAAGTTTGATTATAAATTACCAAATTTAACTTTGAAATTGCAATTTCAAAGCCTGCCTTGGTTGCATGGAGTCATCGAGATTTCTCCGTTCCCTCCGTGCGCTCATTGTTTCAGACATATTTTGACAAGTTAAAGTTTGTTTTGGCTCAAAGTTCACTTCCGCTGCAGAAGGCCAAAGATTTTATTGGTCAATTTATGACAGCCGATGACAGCATGAAATCTCAGTTTGCACACTCAGGTATGAAAGACCAAGTGGGTGGTTTTCAAAATCCAGGGGTTTGTCTGCAAGCGTTTCCTTCCTTCCTTCCCCTCCCCCTGCCCCCTCTTTTACTTGCTCCATTTTTTGCGCTGTAATTCTTTGCTCCTGAACCCCACAGAAACGCTTGCCACACAGGCTACGGAACTGGAAACGCCTTTACGTCTCATTTAATATGCAAAATGATGTCACGAAAACTCATTTGAGCATGACAAAGAAACATGTGGTTCTGAAGTCAGAAGGAAAATAGTCTACCTCAGGTAGAAAAGTTCAATTCTTGTTGCCTGAATCAATGATGGAAGGCCTTCCTTTCTTCTGTGGTTGAGGCTGAGACTTCTCATTGTCTTTGGAGAAGGAATTTGAAGGTGCATCCTGTGTTATTCTGCGATGGATTTCTTTTGAGTTGTGAAACTCCCTCAAGTGCATGATGCCCTGTGGATAGTATGTTTTTTTCTTTTAAATACAGTTTAATGGCATGATTTTAAGGGTCCAGCTCGTTATCATCTCCATTTCTTTTTGTGACCTCGGCATAGGACTCAATACTCAGGACCTTGTCAAGTTCTTGCAGGGCCATTTGTTTCAAGATATTTCTAAGATGGCGGGTCTGGCACTGGCTTTGTAAGATGTTTGTTCATTCCCTGTTTTGTGCAGTGGGGTGTATTTTGACTATGTTTATTCACAGCGACAGAGTTGAGCTCTTTTGTTGCTTCGTTTAAAACTACCAGAAACTTGGAAACATCTACCTTCTTGAGATGGTTCTGAATTTGTTGTTGTGTGGTTTTCGTTTGTTTATGTTTTACTTGACTCGGTATCATTCGCAGATGTTGAAGAAAAATCGCCAAAATATTCATTGAAATGGACACTGAAAGTTGGAAACTTCCATTAAAGTAGGTCTTCAGCCTGAAGGAGCTCATAATCTTCATTCAGAAATTGTAGTTAATTAAATTCGTCAACATTTTTTTGGAAAAAACAATAACAACAAAGTTTTGGCAATAGTAGTTGCAAAATTCTCCACAAAATGGCCTTTTTGTCTCTCATTCTCCTGAAATTTTATTGAGTACTTTAAACTAACCTTGAAATCTGATTGGTTGTTTTGTTTTACTGTCCCAATCTCGTTGGCTGAGAAAAAGATGCAATTTAGAGCAAAAAATAGTGCGATTTGTGAATAAATTGCACCACCGAGAGTCAATCAGATTGCAAGGATAACCAGTGATTTCAAAATGGATTTAATAAATACAGAAATCAATGGCGAAGAACGCACTCAGGCTGTCTGTTTGTTGTTATACAGTTTAGGGAAGCATGCAATATTCTGTCTTGTTATATAAAACAAGTGCACGATTTGCCCCCTGAGCACTCAGAATAGCTATTTGAAACTAAAGAATCCTTATTGCTGAAAAGGTTCATTCCAAGCCTCTCAATCTCCCCACNCCCCCAATCCCCCCTCCCGTCGGCATTTCTAGATTTTTTGAAAAATGCTTTAAATTCCGCATGGTAGAGCTTGACTATTATTTGTTTGATTTCTATTTATATATCTTATTTTCCAGCCTCATAACCTGCAAATGTATTCAGAGAATCTGACCTCTATAAAACAATCTGATTGAATAACAGTAGCAGCCAAGTACTTTAAATTAAAGGTCTTGTCCTGCAAAGCCTCTTTCCACCTTTGGCTTATTTTTATGCAAAACAAAATGAACTGATGGTTACCAGTAATTAAAGATATCAGGTTATTTTAATATATATAAAGCACTATAACTGTCAGACGACTTCTCTGTGTGAAAACCCTGAGAAAATCAGAGGAAATTAATCTGTCAGTGAAGGTTGTTTAGGAGCCAATTATAGTGGGCCAAGGCGTCAAATGTGTGGTGTTTTGCAAATAATTTACAGATATCTGTATACATAAAAAAAATTGTCCTTGACATATTTAATTCCAGTGTTTTGCTTTTCTATTTGGAAAAAAGGGAACTGAAAGGCTATAATCTAACCACAAAACAAAGAAAGAGAAGAGGGAAACATGAAGAAAAATGGCAAAATAAAAAAGAACAAATCAACGGGCTCTTTGGAAAAGTTGAAATTTTATGTAAACAACTTGGTTAGTTGGTTGTTGCTGCTTTGTTAGTCTCAATTTCAGCCATCTTCCTGAGTCCAAACTCCAGAGAGAGGTCTAAAATGAAAAGTTGCTGATCTCACTACCTGAATTTAATCAGGTGGTGATTTTAATTGTTTGAATTTTAGAATATGATTTCACAGTGTATTGTTTGAATCTTTTGAGTTAATTTCAGCAAGGCATTGAAATCACCAAATGCATAGGAGTTCAATTTCAAGAAAATTGTCTCATAAACAGGAAAATGAACTTTACTAGGTCTCTACTTACAAAATTATGGGGATTTTTTCAACCAAACTACGATAGAAAATTAATATAAAAAGATTGAAGGTTTTAAGTAAGCAGCAGTTGTGGCTTGTACATGCAGTGATTGTCCTGATTAGAATTTTCTGTTTTGTCAACAAGCATGACCCATACATTCTGTCCAGCCAGAGAATTTTTGAACTTATTTTTGTGTTCGTTGTCGTGTCAGTTATGTTGAATACTGAATTATGACATGTACTTTACTTATGCTGGCTGTGTTGTATGCTCTTACAGTAACAGTCTCATTCAAATTAAACCAAAGTAAGTGTTGATTAAGAGTGGATTTTTTTTAGCCATGAACTATTTTAAGCACTAGCACCTGTATATACAGTGGAACCCATTGATATGGTCACCAATGGGCCATGAAAATTTGGCTGTATTAACAGGGTGGCGGTATAATGGGATAGGGTCAAATGTCATGATTGGTCTAAACTGAGTGACGTCTTAATAGATATATAATAATTGCACATCTAAACAACTGTTCTTTAATAACCATCTAGAATGCTGATATAATTTATAAAAAATTGAAACTTCAATCAGTACATACCGGTATTAACAATGGAAAGATGAACATAACTGGTTTGAGTGGCCATATAAACGGGGTAAAATCATAAAGGATTATACAGGCTGGTATTTCAGATTGTGGCCAATGGTTGTATTAATGGGGTGGCTGCAATAACAGGATTTTCATGTAAGAAAATGTACAGTATGTATGGCCGTTTTGGCTGGGACAAAAAGAATGTGGCTGTAATAACAAGGTGACCGTATTAATGAGGTGACCAAAAGGTGGGTTCCACTGAACATGCAAAGCGTAAATCAGATCACCATTCAAAATATTACCTGCAACTTTTTATGATCCCATTCATTTCATGTTAACTTAACATAGGTTGTACATTTTTTTGACCCAAAACTATCTTGCCCAAAGTTTTCCCTAGACAGGTAGCCAAACTATACACCTTGTGAAGTTTGAATTGTTTGGCAATATTTTCCTGGAAAAGAGCCAAAAATAAGCATTAGATTTCAGTGTTTTGGGAAAATCCAGGAGTCAATGGGTTAGTATCATGACAATGTTTTGGTCCTAAAATGTAAACAGTTTGTGACAAAAACACAGGTGTTACACTTAATTATTCAATGTTGACTTATCTTCTGAGTGATTAAAACAGGTGAAACTTGAGATAATACCTATTGGTAAGTTCATGGATTATTTTGTTTCTCTTGTTTAGGCAATAACATTCCTCAAGACATTGTCCATGCATTGTCTGTCGCCATCCAACAAAACAGTGACAGACAAGTAACTTTTGAGGAGCACCGGGCCAAAACTGAAGCTTTGACAAGAGAATTAGAAAAGGCACAGGAACTCAAACATCAGGAGGTATATACTTTTATTATTCAAAAGTTAATGGTACACTGAGGGGTAGTAAATCAATAAAAATGATATCCCACATGTGAGGATATCATTTCTATCCACATCCACTCGTGAAGATTTCATTTTTGATAACATTTTTGTCCCATAAACTGCACATAAATTTGTTGGTATATGATCAAACATCTTCTGATCTTCTTTGGAAGTCTTTGACAATCTTTGGTTATCTTCAAAAAATTTAAGAAATCTTCGGAAACCTTCGGAAATTGTTCAGAAATGTTTGTCCAGAGAATCTTCGGAAATCTTCAGAAAGTGGTCGAAAATCATTAAAAAAACACCAAAAACATTGACAGTTATGTATTGTGAAAATTAATATAATAAAAAGAAAATGACATCGCTTGGAGATTCGAATTTCTGTTCTCATGTTTATAAATATTTCACTCGTTTGCTGCGCTCGCTTGTAAAATATTTTTCAACACTCGAAGCATGGCCATGTAATACCTCTATGTAATCCCTACTTAATGCAAAAGCCTCCTGCCTAAAAATACGTTTTGTACACCTGATCATGATCGTGATTATTTACAGTTGAAGCTTTTCTTCTTGCCTCTCTGATCACCAGCTTCCCTTAGTGGACACCCTGTTATGTACCAGTCAGTGCTGTTGCTTTTAAGCTCTTGTAAGTCATCACTCCTGGCAGAAAAATGTGAATGCAACAGATCAAGAGATTAGTCATTCCCAAAAAGCAAAGAAACTACTGATTGGATGAGGTACTAATAAAGGGTTGGTGAGATGTGGGATGAGCCTTTTTTTGCTGCTGAGATGCAGAATTGAAGGTGGGATGCAGGATTGCAAGGGGTCAGCGGGAGGCAAGAAGTTGGTGATTTTTTTGTGGTGGGGTATGGGAATTATTGATTTTTTCATGCGGGAAGAAGGACGTAAGACAGTTGAAATCAGGCAAACAATGCAAGCAAAACATGGTAATTCTCAAGTTTTCTTTGAGTTTCTTTTTTTGTCCACTCTTTCAGAGACTGTCTGAATTTTTTTATCCTTATCAGTGAGTCAATTTGCAGTCTGACTACTGTTGCATGTAAAAATAAAGCCAATAAACACCTGTTACAGACTTGTCAACTTTTCTATGGTAATAGAAACCATTAAAATTCTAACACGATCATGTCAATCACAGGAACAAAGAAGTTGAAGAGTGTCGCTAGGTAGATCGAGTGTGGATCTTGTCTCCTTAGAATATGTCATAAGAGGTTTTGAAGGAAATCTCTTGATGTTGTGCACGCGCCTGTGTGTGCACACTATCGATGTGAAAATCGTGCGCAGTAGGGATATGCAATGCAATAATTGTGAGGAATCACCGCTGGAGACCTAGTGTACCATGTTTATGATTTTTGCCATCAACAGAACTCTGAGAAGCAACATCAGGCTATGTCAATTTGCGCAAAGTTTACGGTCTGGATCTCAGACACACGGGCCTGGCTACTCTGCCCCAAGTTTCGCGCCATAAAAAATGAAAATGGCCTAGTGCATTGTTTGTAAACGTCAGGAGGGGCTCCTGCCTAGATGCACTCCCTTTAAATTTGATGATACAGCATGACTGAAAGGAGAGTAACAGGTCTTTCACCAGGGAATAGTGAGTGATCACCGAGAGAGATGTAACACTGAAACCAAAAAACAACGACAGACGCTTAATGCTCATCAACGAATAACAGCCAACTCAGAAGTATTTACTGAATGACCATCATTATAATTACTCTGAGAGATTTAAATTTTGTCAACATTCCACAAATTCCTTGTATAAGCAGGTCTATTGTGAGACCACAAGTCAGAAGTCAAATTAGCTTGTTTCAGTGCAAAACACTTCTTTAAGGATTTTTTTTATTATTTTTATTATTTTTATTTGGAATAACACAAGGGAAACTTGTAATACTTACTATACAATTACGAACAGTACACTCTTTAGACTACTTACAACACTATACTCTACTTACATTATATTGCTCTAATTATTTACATTCATCTATTTAAATTACAATATCTACACAACTTACAGTACACAAAAGGAGAAAAATAGATAATTATCATTACAGCTTGAGGTTGTACTATAGAAACAAAAGCAGACCGAAGGCATGTGGTACATTATAGATAAAATGAGCTATGCACCTGACTGGACATTAGAAATAGACAAATGGGTAAGAGATAAATACAGTTAGGTATAGAAAATATAATCTAAAATATTAATTAAATCCTCATATATCCTGCGAGAGGTTTCCATTTCTTTGTGTCTCCACTTTTTATTTCATATTGTGATTTTATTGTGCATAAGAAATGCGTAAGATTTGGACGATCTTCTTTTGTTGTAGTGAGCCATATGTGATATCATGCTAATAGAAAGCAGTAATTTATAAGGAGTCCAAATTGAGAGATATCTGGTCTCAGACGCAAAGCAGTAACATTTGTCACAGCATAATCTCTAGGAAGTAAATTTAAGTTTCTCAGCCATTCAGTAACTTTATTCCAAATGTGAGATGTTTGGCGGCATGACCAAAAAAGATGAATTAATGACTCAGAGTAGGTGTGACAAAATCTGAAGAAGTTATTGGTTGGTACGCGTCTACGTAAGAATTTAAACTGAAACTCTATTAGCTTAGTGCTCTTTTTAGGCAAAAGATAGGCAGCAGTCCAATTTACTTTGTCATTTATTGGTAGGCTACAATCCTCTAGCCTCTTCTTTTGACTTGACTGATTTTTTTTATGTATTAATGTAGTTGCTTTTTTGACTTGAAAAATTCTTGTTGTAAGTGGCTCATATTCGAAGTTGGTGTTCTTTAAATCTTGAAAATTAGAGTCAGTCTGTAGAAACTTCACAGCCGATATTAATCCGTAGAAGCTGAGAGGGCGAGGGTCTATTTTATACTTACAGCGGAAATCATTTAATGAAAGAAAGGAGTTTCTCTGGCACTATATATATAAATAAATGATGTAGTGTTTTTTTTTTTAATTTTTATTTTTAAATTTGATTGTAGATTTTTAATACTTGTATAGTTTTAGGTTATTTATTGTTGTAATGCACTTTTGATCACCTGGTATGTTAAAAAGCGCACTATAAATCAATAAATTATTATTATTATTATTATAAAAGATGTTTCACCCGAGTTATTCTCTTTGTAAACCAATTTTTAAAAAAGACTGTCTTGTTTACTATCTTTATTAGGGAGTCATGCCCAAGTGGTTGATCCAGAAAGTGATCTTTCGATATTATTTCAGATTCAAAGTTACGTTCTGCCCAGATTCCTAACAGTTCTTTTAAAAAGGCATCCAAAGTTGTTATTGTCGATGAGGTGTCTCTAACGTTGAGGTTGTAGGAAAAAAGTTTTGACAGCCATATTTTTTGAGGGCTACATCAAAAACGATTTTCTATTTTCCCTTGTTATTTTTATCTAACTATTTTTTAATCCAAGTGGTTTTGAGAGATTTATTGAAGGAGCTAATATCAATCATTTTTAGGCCACCAACACCGAAATCATTGATCATTACCTTCCGTTTTATCTTGTTGCCTTTACCGTTCCAGAGAAAAGTGTAGAGTAAATCGTTTATTTCATTTAAAACATTGTAGTTTGAGCAAAGAGGCGAGAGTAGATAAACTAATTGGGAGATCACTAATGACTTGATAATAGTGATTTTCGCTAACATTGTGAGTCGGCGGTATTTCGAGCATCTTAAGATTTCTTTAACTTTTTCAAGTTTCTCATTGTAGTTTAAAGATACAGATATTTCGGATCTGTTGAAATCCATAGCCATAGGGATTTTACCTTGTCTTGTGGCCATTTAAATTCTTTTCCTGATAACAGAATTTTATCATTTCCAATACTTGCACCGATCCATAGAGCTACATTTTTCTTATCATTGAGTCTGAGGCCAGAGACTTTGCTGAAATCGTCAAGCATTGTAAGGGATGAAAGGAGATATTAACGTAACCGGTCTAATATAACTGTTGTGTCATTGGCATACTGACTTAACTTAATTTCCACATTTCTTCAAGGATTGGTGGCACTGACAAGTTTTGTCCAAATTCCCATGGTAGTCTCTGAACTCTACATTGTGTGATAACAGTCTTTGTGAACATCTGCTTATTGAAAGCTTCAAATTATACCCAGATTTGTGCGACAGTTTTTGTACATATATTAATTGAACTAGTAGAAATCAAAGATTATAGCAGTACATTCACGCGCGTACTGCATATTTGGTCAACAAAGTTTGATTGAATGACAGATAATGATTTGCACGTGAAGTTGAACTAGCGATGAATAAATTATATCCCGCAGCAGCAACCCGTAAAAATGTTTATAATAAAGTTTTAACTTGTACTGGACAAAGTATTTTCGAAGAAAGACATTTTATGTATATAACTATTTGCGAAACTCAAACTTCAATTTCAGATCGCCAACACTTGTGATAAATATTTCTTGAGAATGAAAATTTTTGACCTGCCGACCCTGCCAGACAGCTTGTCACCAACACTTACCTTGAAAATTTTACCTTGTGTTTGTATTTGCTTTGATTGCTCAAATTTACATCTTGTTGTAATGCGTCAGTCAATTCCAGCAGTGCCCATTCTCTCCCCCCCTCCCCCCCCCAGGCTAACCCGCAGGCATTAGCATTTTTTTTAAATAAATGGGCAAATTCCCCGGGGTGGGGACACATAAGCTGTCTAAATGCACCGGGGTGGGGACGAAGAAAGAGGGCAAATGACCCGCCCCCGGGATCGTCGCCTTCCAACACCTCTGCAGTTTTTTTATTAATCAGTGAATGAAACGTTCAGCTGTTCAGTATTTTAATGCAACGGGAAGACTTCAAGGACAACAGTACGTGTTAGTTGATTCTGATTATATTTATTTCTTTATATTTGTTTTTAACAGTTTGCTAGAGGATAGCTGGGATCGCGG